TAGATACATCTATACACACTTCTCTTTCGTATACATTGAACTCAAGCCGCCAGACAAATTTGGTTCTCAGTGTATATAAATAATAATACATTGTGTATATTGCTTACAAGAATATCAAAACATATACAGCACGTATTGTATACTCGTATACAATGGTGTATTTTACATGATGTGTAACAATGTGTCCATCACTGTTTCCAAGATCTTCAGACCATTCTCCAATTGATCACGCGTTAGAGCGATCTCATTACCTAATTCTCCACCAACGTTAGCAGCTCTTCGGAATCGATTACAGCCAGCTTGGGATGAGGTACTTCATGAAGACATAAATCACCCCTTCAGAAGCGCGCTCCGACTATTAGACGAATCTATACGGCATCAAGGTGGCAAACACATTGGGTGGAATGCATAACACGTAGTAGATGCTATTGCTCCACTAAAAAGTATCTACCTTGTAGCATCCTCTTTTACATAGAAGTATGTGCTTTATCTGAGAAGAATATACTATACTGTATGGCACAACAGAAGTACCTACTACTAACCTGAAGTATCTACTACTAAGCGCCGCGGCTGTGTGCTCGTGTAAATCACATCAATCGTGTTAGAACTCGTTTTTCATCTGCCTGTACGTATACATTCACAATACATTTTTACTACGTACATTATTAGCATTTCGTCTACAAGTAAAAATGAGTGACTCGTCAGATTCCGATGCGACAAAAGAGTTAGGTCAGGATAGAAATGAACAGTTGTTATTTGTTAATATTCTTGAGGATTATCAAATTTTGTTTGATAAAAGAATGACACCAAAATTCAAGAATGAAAAAGAAGATGCACTGAGGAAATTAACTGATGCCTTCAGTGAAATAACAGGAAAAAAACTGGATGCAAAACAGATTTTGAAAAAATTTAATAACATGAAAACCAAAGTTAAAAAAATTGTTGACGTGAAACAAACTTTTAACCAAAAAATTGTACTGACTGAGTGGCAAAGAAAATTCTATGATTTATGGAACGTCGGAGACAATCCAGTCTTACACAGGGTACCAGGTGGGTGCCAGGCCGGTGTAGTAGATGAGGATGGGGTTTCACTACAAAAAAAGAATATGAGTTCCTTAGTTCCAAATCTGGTTCCGGACAATTTACAGCCGGAACACTTAAAAATCTAATGCGAAAGAGGAGTCACTGATTCAGCTACAGAAGAATTGCTTACGAAAACAAATTAGGTCTATTTAACATCACTAACACGTAAAAAGAAGGTGGTAGACAAGGACCAGTCGACCGAGGCAGTACCACCCGCTAGCTTTTCCCAGGGTGTCTTATAAATGTCCGCATGTTTCCACACCTAAGCTATGCAGTCGGTTATCTACCAAAACAAAGAAATTAATGATGATGGATCCCTCGAGCACTAAAAACTCCGGACGTAAACTCACTCCACTCTCGGAATGTCCGGGTGGAGGGTGGGCTCGAGGGAACAACATCGAAGATAAAATTTGTTTTTCGAACATCTGCGGGATCAACAGCAACATTGATGCTGTTCATCACTACCTGCAATCCAGTCGTCCCGCCGTGCTTTTCTTGGCGGAGATAAAAATCTCAGAGGCTGCACCGATTAACCATCTCAACTTCTCAAACTACGAGGTGCACTCCAATCTGAGAAAGAACGGGGGAGTTGTGGCTTTTGTCCGCAGCAGTCTTTCCTGCTCCAGGGATCTTTCTTTGGAATCAGACCGGAAGGACATTCTGTGGCTTCGCCTCAACTCCAAAACATCAGCCACATTTATTTGCTGCCTTTATCGCTCTCCCTCGAACCATAACTGGGATGACCTACTCGAATACCTCGCCGTCCAGATCGACTTCCTGAACATCAATCACCCCGCTTCAGAGGTAGTTCTTCTCGGTGATTTCAATGCCCATAATGAGCTTTGGTTGGGCTCAAATAAGACCGATGCAGCAGGTCGTGCAGTCGAAGCGTTCGCTCTTACTCAAGGGCTGACCCAGCTGGTGACGAGCCCTACTTTTTTCCCCCGCGTCTCGTCACACGCCAGTAGCCTGCTGGATCTCTTTCTGACCACGCATCCTGCCCCTTACAGCACTGCTGTCCTGTCCCCCCTGGGTAACTCAGATCACGGTGTTGTGGAGGTTAGGTTTCGGTCAGAAGCCGCTGTGGCAGCAGAAACTCGCACAGGCCGCAAAACTTGGCATTATGGACATGCCGACTGGGAGGGGCTCAGAGACTTCTTCTCTAACTTTCCTTGGAGAGATGTCTGTTTCACTGATGCGGATGCGTCGACTGTCTGTTCTTCAATAACCGAAATTATCCACGTCGGAATGGAGGAATACATCCCCCACACAGTGAAAGTTCCTAAACCAGGGCCCAACAAATCGTGTGACACTGCTCGCCAGCAGAAGATCAAGGCCCACAGAACCTACTTACAAAACCCCACTGTAGAGAACAGACAAGCCGACGTCGAGTCCAGAAACAAATATAACGAAGCGGTTCGCAATGCCAAAAACCAGCATGATATAAAAGTTAGGCACAGGGTAATGTCGCAGCGCAATGGCAGTCGGTCTTTCTGGACGCTGGCCAAGCAGATTGAAAAGAACTTCTCACACAGTAGCCTTCCACCACTTACATGTCAGGATGGAACTATTGTATTCGACTCAAAGGCCAAGGCGGAAGTGCTAGCCAAGATCTTTGCTGCCGACTCCACCATGGACGTCCCCACCAACGCCCAAGTGCCGTCAATTCAAAGGGTTCCCCACACTATGCGGGAGGTAACATTCAGGCATAAGACCGTAAGTCGAGTGCTCTTGTCGCTCGACATCAACAAAGCTTCTGGTCCGGACTTGATTCCTGCCATTGTACTGAAGAGATGTGCAGCGGAGCTTGCTCCAGTTCTTTCGCGTCTCTTCCAGATATCTTATGAATCCGGCACCTTCCCAGAAAACTGGAAATTTGCTCATGTACAGCCCATCCCAAAAAAAGGATCTAAAACCGACCCTTACAACTACAGGCCTATAGCTCTGCTTTCTGTTATAAGTAAGGTGATGGAGAGGTGCATAAATCGCGAGCTTCTAGACTACCTCGAACGTCACAGCTTGATTAGCGACAGGCAGTACGGTTTCCGGCACCAACGATCCACAGGGGACCTCCTAGCTTACGTCACGCAACTGTGGAGTAAACTCATCCAGTCTCATGGTGAGGCTCATGTCGTTGCTCTTGACATCACGAAAGCGTTCGATCAGCTGTGGCACGCTGCCCTCTTAAGCAAACTTCCATCCTACGGCCTCCCAGAAAAGCTTTGCAGATGGGTGGCTGACTTTATCTCTGGCCGCAAGATATCCGTCGTAATTGACGGATTCTCCTCTTCATCCCACAATGCCAACGCGGGTGTTCCCCAGGGATCGGTCTTGGCTCCAACACTGTTTCTCTTACATATCAACAACTTCCTTTCCTGTACGATCAACCCAATCCACAGCTTCGCTGATGACAGCACTCTACATGCAGGAATTCAGAGTGACAAGCCGATATCTGCCGCTGAGCTGGAAAAAAGAACACTAGCGACGACTTCTTCTCTGACAAGAGAGCTGGAGGCTATCACTGCTTGGGGACGCAACAATCTTGTACAGTTCAATGCTTCCAAAACACAGTACTGTACTTTGACGAACAAAAAGCCTCCTAGCGCTCATACAGTTTCGATGGACGGTCGAGTTCTACCAAAGAGCCATTCATTTCGGCTGGTCGGAGTCCAGATCACCGAGGACCTGATCTGGCACGAACACATCTCTTCAATAGCTGCAGCTGCTGGGAAAAAGCTAGGCTATTTGTTTAGGGCTAAGAAGTACTTTTCTCCGCATGACCTTCTCACTCTATACGAGGCCCAGATAAGGCCTAGCCTCGAGTGTTGCTCACACACTTGGGGTGCTGCCGCCCCGACTACACTGTCCATGCTCGATGCTGACCAGAGGAGGGCGGTCCGACTGATCGATGACTCTTCTCTAACATACAGTCTCGGGACTCTTTCGCACCGGCGGGCCGTCAGCGATCTAGCTCTTTTCTATCGCTACACCAACGAGCTTTGCTCCTCAGAGCTCTCTTCCATAATGCCGCCGCGCGATGTGCCTGCCAGACAGACCCGCCTGACTTCGGCGTCCCATCCTAACCGTGTCAAACTTCGTACATCCAGAACTGGCCGATACGACCGCTCCTTTGTCCCGAGGGTGTCTAGATTGTGGAACAATCTACGGGCGGAAGCTTTTCTCGGTTCTACTAACCTTAGGCAGTTCAAAAATCGTATTAACGAAATTTCTTTGGGATCATCATAGCAGCCGCGGTGTTCCGGCAATTTAGGCTTCTGCCTGCGCGGCTGTTTTGATATAAAAAAAAACAAAAAAAATAGAAGCAGCCGAAGCTCAAATTTCTTGTGCTCGAGCTCAACAGTCTTCGACGGCAGCTGAAGAACGGGCCGCGATTGCATTAGTGAAGCTTGCCGAAGCTGGTGAGCAGTTAGTCAACCATATAATTGAGCGTGACATGTTACAGTGACAAAATAAGTTTGTATTTATAAATGTTATAATATATATAGTTATAATAATAAATGTTAAGAGTTATAATTTCATTTTGTTAAAAGGTTTTACTAAATAAACATGTTATTAACTTGTATCTTTTGAATATATTAATTACTAATTGAAAATAAAACCAAATACCACATAACATAATTTACTTTTAACATTTGTTTGTTATTAGACGACCCTGTGCATAATGATATTATACTAAGTGACATATAAATCCGAACACCCAGTTCAAATGGTTTTATTTTAATAAAATTTTGTATAGGTACTTAATGAAGCATAATAAGTAAATGATAAAAATTTCAAAATGATTGCACTGCTTTAAAGCCCTTTGACCTTTAATAGGCCCGGCGCATATTGAACCCATGCCACGCGTAGCACACGCACAGCCCACGCGTGGGTGATTTTGTAAAACACTGTTGTAGACGAACTGACGCATATTGCACCCATCCCACGCCTAGCACGGTCCCAGCCTATTCCCACGTGGTTTGATTTGTGCGAGCAACACAGTTTCGTGGAATCGTGGGTCACTTTGTTTACGTTTTTCAATTCAAAATGGAGAAATTGATCGAACTCGTTCGGGAGAATCCTGTGTTGTATGACACTTCACATGAGGATTATATGAGAACAAAATTAAAAAATGAGTTGTGGGAGAAGATAGCCAGAGATTTAAATTATACAAGTGGTGAGTAATCTTGAAATATGTATATTTTGGGTTATAAGAACGAACACGTGAGTATGCACTTCCTCGAGTACTCATCGTAAGTACATATTTATTTTTTTTAATAATAATAATAATTAATAATACTTTTCATTTTTGTATGTATATATCCTAAAATTGTCCTCTTTCTATCGCTCTTCGTTGCCATTCAACAGATCCATCTGCAGAATTGAAACACTCGGTAAACTTCTGCCTAATATTAAATGCTTCAGTAGAATTGCGAGTTCGGTTTAGTGCTAAAGGAATAAAATGATTTTCATGAGAATTAGTCAACACTTCATAATTTTCTTCCTGGCCAGTGGCAATCGAGAGAATCTTAGTTCTCAAATAATTATGAAGCACAATTGTGGCTAGCACTATTTTATCGATGGTATCCAATTTACATTCAAATGGTCTCTTGTACACCCGGAATCTAGCTGCTAATATACCGAAGGCACTTTCTACTGTTTGTCTAGCCCGAGATAGTCTATAATTAAAAACCTTGTTTTGATAACTACCAGCAACTCTCGCTTTAGGATATGGACGCATTAAATTTCTCATTAGCGGGAACGCTTCGTCTCCAACAAATACATGTGGAGTTGGTGTATTTTGTCCAGGTAAAGGCTTTGGTTCTGGCAAAACGATAATTTGCATCGACAGTCGCCATTAAAACAACAGAAAAATATTGTTTGTAGTTGAAGAAAGAAGAGCCACTCAGAAGTGGTTTTCGAATGGCGACATGCTTCCCATCGACAGCTCCTAAACAGTTATAAAACTGCCATTTTCTTTCATACTCTAATGCAATGTTCTTCCAAATTTCCACCGTTGGTTCGGGCATATAAATGGGCTGTAAACGTCGCCATATCGCTTCACAGACTTGACAAAAAATGTTCGATACGGTTCTCTGTCCCATTCTCTAGCTCAGTCCTATAGTTTTATACATGTCACCAGTGGCCAAATACCTGAAAAAAATCTACTTCAAGGCTGAAAAACGAAGAAAGATCAGATGCCATTTTTATTGTTTATCAATTTATTGTTTATTCTGTTACAGGCAAGGATGCTAAAGAACAATGGCGGAAGCTAAGAGAGTGTCATCGTGAAGCTATCCGAAGGCAACAAAAGAAAAGTGGACAACAAACAACCACTACGAAACCATGGACCTATCAAAAACAAATGGATTTTTTAAAACCATACATGAAAAACAGACTCACTGCTGGATGTCCCAGCACCTCAGCTCCTGATGACAGCCAGGTAGAAGAAGAAGATGTACTCTCTGCTGATCCACCAAGTGTTCAATCAGATTTTGAAACAGATCAATCCATGGATACACCCACTTCAAAAAAAGCGAAAAAATCTGGTGATCCTCTATTGAGAAAATACATCGAAGATGGTGAGAAAAGAGCTAAGAGTCGGGAAGAATTACGTCAAAAACTAATAGCTCAATCTCAGCAAGAAGCAGTGTTACAAAATGATGCTCTACATCTTTTTTTTATGTCAATGTACAATGTAACAAAAAATCTTCCTACCAAATTTCAAAGGCAAGTCAGAAGAAAAGTTTTTGATGTCGTCTCACAAGCAGAAGATGATGCTGAGCAAGAGATAGAGAATCATAGAATTAATTCATCAACCTCCAGTACTAGTGGACTATCTGTGGTGACACAACAATACCCTGAATTCTTTACTCTACATCAGAATCCATCATTGATTCGTCCTGTAGAAGCAAATGAAGAGGATCTAGAAACAAACATTGGGGAAGAAGAAGATAATTTACCAAGAGCATTCCTTACTTTGTAAATGCATAATTTATATCTTGATAACATAAAATATTTTCTGAATAAAATTACCTTAGACATACGGCTACTTTTTCTTCACTTCCAATAGGTTTTTGTGCATTGCACTCTTTACCCGTAATATCGTTCTTTATCAATTCATGGATTTCGTTGAACTGTGTTCTGTTCACTCTAAATGTCTCTTTGAACATGCTGTCTGGAACTTCTCTAGATAAGTTGAACTCTCCATGACTTTGTCTTTTTCGCAGATACGCATTTTTCTCGCTTTTTGTTCTTCTTCGATTAAATAGATACATTAAAATAGATCTTTCCTCGTCTTCCGACTCAGACTCTAGATCGAGGAGCTGACAGATATTCGCTGCCATCGTGGAAGTGGACTGGACATGGGATGGGTTCAATATGCGCTTCCGAACGCGAAACATGGGCTAGGCTGGGTCTGTACGTAACGTGGGCTGTGCGTGTGCTACGCGTGGCATGGGTTCAATATGCGCCGGGCCATAATGTGTGGATGCACCCTGATGTGCTACGCATTCTCCAACGCGCCTAGGCATGCTTCTGATCAGGTGGTCAATGTCCTCCTGTGGTATCTCATTCCAGGCAACCACCAACTCCTCTCGAAGTGCTTCTAGAGTCTGAGGAGGACGTTGCAAATTGAGCAATCTCCTACCCATCATATCCCACACGTGCTCAATTGGGGATAAGTCGGGAGATCTTGGTGGCCATGTTAACAATGTGACATCATTATGTTGAAAGAAGTCTATTGTGACTCTTGCAACATGTGGTCGGGCATTATCTTGTTGGAAAGTTGGATCTGCCAGGGTGTCAAGATAGGGTAAAAGATGGGGTTTTAGAACTTCGTGGATATAACGCTGCGCGTTCATGTTACCTCTGATGAAGGTTAAAGGTGACCTGGAACCATAAGCTATAGCACCCCAAACCATAACTCCAACAGTGTGATGAACATGTCTTTCAACAAAAAACTGTGGATTCCTCCTTTCACCACGTCGCCTTCTAACCCTGGCACGACCATCGTGCATGCCTAAACAAAATCGAGACTCGTCACTAAAGACAATACTGTTCCATTCCTGATCCCAGAGTGACCGTTGTCTGCACCAGTCAAGGCGATTACGTCGGTGTTCTCGAGTTAAAGGGAGGACCCAGTGTGGCCGGTATGAAAACAAGCCAAAACTTCTCATTCGTCGGTAAACACTTCGCATGCCAATAGGTCTTCCGTGTTCTGCAAACCATTCATTTGCAATGGACCTGGTAGTGGAGAAACGGTCCCTTAAGGCCAATAATCTTAGGCGGCGATCTTCACGGTCTGTTGTTCTACGGCGGCGTCCAGTGCCCCTTGCTCTTTGCGTACGGCCTTCTCGAAGCCATGCCTGACAACACCTAACCAAAGTGTCTACACTTCTTTGCACTCTAACTGCAATTGCCCGAAAAGAAAGTCCAGCTTCCCGAAGTCCCACTATACGGCCCCTATCAAACTCACTAAGTTGACGAAATCGTACAGATCTCCGTACTCTAGGCATCGTAAGCGATCGTAAAGGATGTCAAGAACAAAAATCCGCCAACGTTGATTCTTTACTGCGGCTGAAATATTCATTTTTAGAGCGTTAGTGAATTAAAAAAAAGCAGTATAAAACCCGGAATGACCAACTGATAAGGCTGAACATTTTTTCACTTGTTATTTACAGTAAGATAAATACATTCACCAACTTTTATTAAAATAAAACCATTTAAACTGGGTGTTCGGATTTATATGTCACTTAGTATATATTAGTTGACGTCACGAAATATAGCCTCCGCAACGTCGTTTCTACATTGTGTGCCTCGATTTCGAATTTGGGGTTGATTACCCTCAGGTATCAGTTCAATCGCATCTTGTACTTCCATCTGAACTGGATCAAAATCATGGTATGGATCTTGCAAATGTTTAGATATGTTATGAAGTACAAATGCACTCACAATATGTTTTGGAATGTTTTCAATTTTTAGGCGAAATGTATACTGGAGCATTGGAAAACGCCGTTTCAACTGACCAAAGCAGCGTTCTATGACACAACGTTCCTTCGCATGGATTAAATTATAATTTTATTGAATAGGTGTGGTTGGATTTTTATATGGTGTCAACAACCATGGTGCAATACCATATCCTTCATCACCTAACAAGGCTGCTCCTTGCACATTATTATACATAATTCGATGCACTAGGGAGTTTCGCCAAATTCGACTATCGTGGACGGAGCCTGGCCAAGTCGCATCGATACTGATAAAGATTTCTTTGGCGTTACAAGTAGTTTGTACATTTATTGAACATATCCCTTTTATATTCACATATTCATTACCGCGGATTCGTCGCTTTGTTATTTTAACGTGAGTGCAATCAATAGCACCTATGACACTGGGCATTCGCTTGGTATTTGCCACTCATTGATAGCAACTCTAAGTAAATCGTTAGTATTAGGAAATGTTATCCAGTTATTTCTCTTGGAATAAATTGCTTCAGATACAGTAATCAAGGTTCTGGATACAGTACTTTGGTTTACATCTAAATCAACAGCAACTCCTTGCTGAAATCCAGGATCTCCTGAAAAATTTATATTTATATTTTTTAAATTTTAGAATTACTTTCCTATATTAACCTAAACTTCTCAAAAATATCTCCATTTTCCGAGTAGGTGACAAGGCTACTCTTGTTTCTACGGATCCTCATTATCGTCAAGAAAATGGTTTGCAAGCCACTCTACATTTTCTCTGTTAAACAAAAAATTATGAAAGTAACTTGATTTTATATTAATAATGATTACATAACCATAAAACTGCACGATTTATGATAATTACCTAAATAATTTACGATAAATATCATCGTTGTATATCTTCACTTGTTTGTAAACTTTTCTACGACGCACATTCATGAATGCTGCCATTTTCCAAAAAAAAAATACTGAATTTGCGGTAGCCGAAGTTGCTCATACACTAACTTCACTTAAGCTGGAGCAAATACTACTAAACCACCAAATACTTCTAAAGCGTAGTATATTCTTCTATGTATCTCGTACATAGTAGGATATGCTATGGAGGAAAGTAAATGCTTTGTTAGTGTAGTTAAAACTTCAAAAATGTAGTACATACTTGAAGCATTAGCATCTACGACGTTTTATGCATTCCACCCATATTATTAGCGAGATACAGCGATATCGTAAGTGGTTCAACTTCAAAATTTAATCATGAGTTTCTCTTGCTTGCGTCCACCTGTAGACACATTCTTTTTAAACAAAATGATTTTTATTTGATGTCACTGAATATAATTGCTTTAGTATCATTACTAATATTGATATTTCTCCCTTAGACGTGCAATGCCTTAGTCAAGTATTTGCCAAGCTCTATTAACTCTATCAGATCGGAAAGAATCTGCTTACGGTAAACTACATTCACAATTACATTTTTCTATTTCAACGCAGAGTCTGCTTGCTAAGTATACAAAAATGTCATTCAAGTAAAATCATTTTAACTAGGTGTACAACGTCCTTATTACTGAGTATAATAGTAGAAACCATTTCTATGCTGTTTTATAAAAAAATTACACCTATTATTGACGTTGGCAGTTTGTTGACAACTTCTATGTTCAAAAAGGTGAAATATGTCTTTAGCTGGAAAAACAGCTATCGTAACCGGTTCCAGCAAAGGCATGGGTTACCAAACAGCGCTCGCCCTTGCTGCTAGAAAATGTAAGCTCATTTTAGCTGACAAAGTCAACCAAACAGAATCATTGGCCAAAATAGCGACGGAAACGGGGAATGAAGATTTACGTGCAGAGTTCCTGGACCTTTCCAATCTCAAGTCAGTGAGAGCATTTGCTAGGAACGTTCTAGATAAGGAGAAGAAAATAGATATTTTGATCAATAACGCTGGTATATTTTGCATGGATAAGCAGAAAACGGTTGATAAGTTGGACGGTGTCATGCAAGTCAATCATCTGGGACCATTTTTGTTGACGGAATTATTGGTTGATGTTATAAGAGAATCTAAACAGGGTAGAATTGTGTTCGTGACCTCCAGTGGAGCCTTTTTTCATAACATGTCTGTGAGTACTTACAAAAATAGTGAATCACTCTCTTTATCTGAATAAAAAAATATACGACAGTTTTTAAGTATAGAAATGTACGTAGAAAATAAATCGTGAAGCTAAAAAGAAGTAATAATAATGATTCAAAATAAATTCTTGATAAGCGTTTTTGCTGAAAAAAGTATAGTTCTCTTCACCGATTTTGGCGATTACGTCATCAATGTCATACGAAGTAAGTAAGCAAATCGACTACCTGAACCATGTGTGGAGCTGAAGCTCTATAGGAAAATTGCACAGTGGACAAACCGACCATAAACGCAGATGCTCTTTCACGTATGAATTGGTTAATAAGGGACCATTGCCTTCATTCACTGTCTCAAAATACTCCAATAATTTTAGCAAAAACTATCGATATTGTATGTTGTAGTTGTAGTCACTATTCATACACAAGCAACCTACCCCTGTGTGTGAACGTTTGTTCGGTAAGTTCAAAGACTACTATTCGTCATTGTCTGTCAGAGCGGTCCGTAGGACCTTTGCTGTTGGTTGAAGTCTTGTAAGTCAGTAGGTCTTTCAGGTCTGGTTGCCCAGATACCAAACAAAGTCAGGGAGAAAGAAGGGAAGAAGACAGGAAGGAAGGAAGGAGGGAGAGCAAAGAAAAAAGAAGTGCATCAATTTGAGGGGTGCCTTGGCATTGCTAGTTAGTATTCGGCAATTTTAAATTGATCCAAAAATTAATTTTGGGATTGGTTGTTGAAGAAAAATTATAATTTTGGTTAGACCTAAAGTCGCACGATTTAATTTTGTTCACAGTGCGAGTCGCGGCCTTGTGTGCTTGCGAACTTGCTCGACTGTGTAGTCTACTTACTCGCGCAACAAAGGGTTGTTATGCGATTCTGCTTGACTGTAACGTAGCTGCACTTGTTGTTTGATGTAGTCCCTTAGGTAAGGGATGTCGAGGTCTCTGTGAAGGGTCTCGCTGGAAACATACCATGGGGCGTTAGTGATTGTACGCAAGGTTCTGTTCTGCAAAACCTGCAGGCTACGCAAATGCGTTTTGGCGAGAAAACACCAAGCCGCACTTGCGTAAGTGATCGCTGGTCTAATAACCAAACCATCTTGTATAGCCGAACTTTGTTGATCAAACTTAATTTTGATGTTCTACATAGCATAAGGTAGAGTTGCCGAAACGAGTTTTGGAATTTAGTTTTTAACGCTTCAGTGTGCTTCTGCCAGGTTATCCCCTTGTCAAGAGTGACACTTAGATACTCAGCAGAGCTTTCCCATGGTACCCGAGCTCCATTCACTGAAACCTCAGACGGGGCGCCACTACGTTTTTTAGTACAATAGATTGCCTGCATTTTCGAATGATTAATTTTGATCAGCCACCGATTCGCCCATTCCAATACCTCGTCCACTGCACTTTGCAGCCTGTCGTGAACTAGATCCCCAGAGCACGACTGGGCCACCAGGGCAGTGTCATCAGCATAGAGATAGGTTTCACAGCTGCTGGGGCAAGGGACGTCATGAATAAAAAGTGAATAAAGGACTGGTCCAAGAACCGAACCCTGAGGGCACCGGCTTTGATGGGCCGTGTTGTCGACAGAACGGTATTAATTTTGATCCGAAATTTCCTACCCTCAAGAAAGGATTTCAAAAGTTTTAGGAGCCAAAAGGGGAAGCCCTTATGGATCAATTTGTAGAGAAGGCCCTTGTGTCACACCTTGTCAAATGCCTTTGAGACATCCAGTAGCAAGATGCCAGTACTTTCGTTACGGGTGAACCCCCTGGTTACTCGTTCAATAAGCCTTATGGCCTGTAGCTCCGTACTATGCTCAGACCGAAAGCCAAATTGCACGTCAGGAATCACATTGTGGTCTGCCGAGAAATTTTCAAGGTGACGTAGGATCACCTTTTCAGCGAGCTTAGAAGGAGCTGACAGTAGACTAATGGGGCGGTAATCCTGGGGGAATATCGAACCCACCTTCTTTGGAATCATTATGACATCAGCGGTCTTCCACGCCGTTGGGAAGTGCTGGGTCCTTAGCATGGCATTGATTATTGCCACGAGATAAGTTAAGGACTTCCGCGAAAGTAGCTTCAGCGCCTTATTAGTGATTCGATCCTTTCCAGGTGCTTTACGCACCTTGAGGTCTTTAATTTGGCCCTGGAGCCCTACTGGTGTGCAATGCGGAGTATCAGGAGATTTCGTTAATGTGCCGTGCAGCTCTTCAATTGAGGAATCTTCTAAAGATTCCTCTGAGGAAAAATCACTAAGGAAGGCACTACTGCCACTGACGCCGTTGGCCCTAAAATATCTCCTGACGTCGAGGTCATTATCAAGGTCATAGTTGGGAGAGAACTGACTTTCCATTCCATCAGCGAAAACCTCGACCTTTTCCTCTGTCCTACAGACTATGCCCCTAGGACCATGGATGCGTGGGAGTTGTTCTCGCTTTCCGTTTCTGAGCGACTTTGCAACTTTCCAGAGAGGAATATGTACTTGAATCAAGCATCCCCGACAGAAAGTCGCTCCATTGCTCATTACGGAACTCATGAAGAGCATTTCTCACTTCATGAACAAGATTCGTTGCTCGTTGAATTGCATCTGGGTGACAAGACCTCTTCGCTTGCTTAATTGCAGCTCTTTTGTAAAGAAATTTTCTGATGAATGTCTGCAGGGAGAAGCTCAAAGACATACGTCTTTTAGTTGTGTGTCTCCATCTCGAAAACTTTGTCGTTACGTATGAGTGCCTTTCAAACATATTTGTAAGAGTGACAGCTTACTTGACATCGGCGTGCAATTTGAGTTGTCCTGTTATCAATCTTCAATATAAAATTGTATATTACAATGGCCGGAAATACGATCAATGAAGGCCGACAGCTCGTGCTAAATTTATTAGAATATTTCCAGGAAGAGAATGAAAACAGCGGTCCCCTGTTACCCACTTCATGCGTACACGAGAGAGTAGCAGAAGAGGAAACTCACAAAATCAAAAATTCAAGACGGTTGATGTAACTGATGCCGTCAAAACAGAAATTAGGAATACTTTCTACGGTATGAGCAGTAAAGGACAACATATCACGACCTCTGTGCTTAATCAGGAGCTAAAAAAAAAAGGTACATATACAACGCCTCGTTTTCAAGTCTCAGGCGTATTTTATGAGACACTATATGAATAATCTGAATATTATAAGCCCTCTCCAATGTGTTTTCTTAGATGAAACGTGGATATTTGCCAATGGGTCGCTTAAGTAAATTTGGCAAGATAAAAACGTAAAGAGTTTGAAGGGTACCGGCAAGTGGTATGTTGTTCTCCACGCTGGGAATAAAAACGGTTTTTTTTAGAGAAAAGTGCTGACTACATTTCCATGGACACAGATTCTATCAAAAAATAGGTAGGTCAGAAGCTGATAACAGAGTTCAAAGAGCCATCTTTAGTAATAATGGACGATGCCTCTTATCATAGTGCTTTAACAGTTGCAGTAAAATGCAATTGAACCAATCACTGCAAGACAAAAAGATATATTTTTATGATGACTCGAGGTTTTACTATAAATCTATGTCGCCTTAATAAACCATCGGCTCCAAGATATATCATAGACGTAACATTAAATGAATATGGGCATACAATTTTGCGGCTCCCCCTTACCATTGTCAATACAACCCTATTGAGTTAGTCTGGGGAATAGCCAAACAGTACTATGATCGTCATATTGGGGAAAATAGTTATGGTGACAAGGAAGTTTTGAAAGTTTGGGACGATGCTCTAGGAAAGGTGACTCCTACAGTTTGGGCCAAGTGTGTAAAACATACAGAGTGCTTGACTAAAAACGACTGGGATAAGCAACAAGTGTTTACAAGAAAGGAGACTAATATAATCATTCACTTGGGAGAAAGTTCAGATGACTACATGAAAAAATCCAATAATTCATACTTTTATTGAAACAATTTTGGAAATTTATAATTCTTAACTTTCTATGTGTGCACCTTAATGTAGATTGTTGAGTATTTTGATAGTTACCGATGTTTATTAAGGTAAATGTATGTTTTTGTCTAGCAGTAATTTATTTAGTCGCATTTCACTCTAGTATGAATTATGCATTTTGATTATTGAAGATGGTTCTTCTAAAGCTCTCATAAGCCTGTCACATATCCACATCCAATGTTAAATGTTCCATCAAGTTACCAAATAGATGTGTTATTTTGTATTATATTTTGAATTCCATGTGTTTTTTATTTCAACTTTAAAAAACATCAAATGGCGTGTCATACTCTACCCATGTTTATGTAATACATTGACATATTTTTGAGAATTACGATTAGTAAATAATTTTGAATCGGTTTCCCTCTAGTAGGAAAAAATTAAGATCCGCCACATGTCAAGTGGATTTCACATTGACAGTGACAAGCATAGATTATAAATACTCATACGCTGGCGAGAAAATTTTCGAGTTAGCGGGTCGAAGATGAAGAACGTATGTCTGAGCTTACATTAACAATTGTTCGCGCAGATGCAGATTGCATAAGTATGTATGAGAGAGGTGGATGTATAAAAATGGTGCCCGTAATTTTAATGTGACTCCCCAAAAACTGTAAAATCAACATGTGAAGACCCAAATGGCATAGCATATTTTTTGTCTTTCATATTCGAGATATTGATTCTTTTCCGGGGGACCCTGTATGACTTATCAGTATAAGCTATCCATCTGAATTCGTAAGCTTATAAAACTTATTTACTTTTAGACATATCTTCACAGCTTCTTTAGAACATATGACTCATTTTGTGGTGTACCATTTCTTTTGACAATTGATGTCATATTTTTGCAGTCGTTTTCGGTCATTACTAAATTTTCTGACGCTGTCTCGTACTTTTAGGTAGATAAGCTTCAAGAGCCAGACTACTTTTTTCCACACTTTGTATCAGGAGCTATACATTATTACAATTCGAAGCTTTGTAACATGATAATATCCCAAATATTCGCAGAAGAGTTGAAATTGTCAAACATAACTTCCAATTATTTGCATCCGGGTAAGCAATTGTTATTGAAAAAGTAGTTGAGTAGATTCACACAATATTTCCTACGAAATTCTGTTAATCTGGATCTGAAGCACTTCCTGTTTCAAAATGTTCTGTTGTAGCTTTCAAGCAGTTAGAAATATTTTTATTGCATTCACACATTAGCAGAGTGTATTAGACCATTGTGAAGAGGAACTCATAAATATGATTATTTTAATAATTCATTTCGTAAAATCTCTACCTAGGCATGACGAGCACAGACTTCCTGGTATCCGATGCAGAAAACGACCCTTTCGGCAGGTTCAAAAGGAATGCCACACTGGAAGTTTTGAAGTGCACAACCAAGGATGTCAAAACCGCTGCCCACATGCAAGTTTTCGTTGCGACATCTCCGACGTTAAAGAAAGTTACTGGCAAGTATTTTGCGGATTATGTGGTGCATAGACCGCCTAGCGTCTTGGAAGATAAGGTATTTTGTAGGGCTATATGGGAGGAGAGTAAAAGATTGGTTGGATTGAGATGATTGCAATAAAATATACGTTTATAATAAAGATCATTTCTAGTTCAGTCCTTCATTATAAGGCAATATCGGTAATGCTCAGTTGTACATATATATAGCTGTTAAGAGTTAGCACTTCGTAAAGTATAGCCTAGCTCAGTTGCTGAATATCGTTCGCTCTGTACTAAAGCTGCTAGCAACTAGCACATCTGGCTTCTGTGAACGAATCTGAAGAAAATGCCAAAAGTAGCACCTTATTTTTCTATACACTAATAATTAAAAAATAGTGTTCATTGTTACTATTGTTATCTCTCTGATTACAAAAACTAGTTTTGGAGTTATGCACCTCTTCAGCTTTGACACGTGTTTTGGTTCATGCTAATAAATACTAGGGAACTAAGCAAATAAAACAACATTTAATAACGAATTAGTTTTATTCAAGTGACAGCTTATCATATAAAGTGCAATTTCTATCTACTTACAGTAATAATTAACCCCTACCATGATTATCATAGTTATTTATTTACAAAGGTTTTACCAATTTACCCTACAATTATTTATAAAAACTCAAAAACAACCTTATACATAATATACGTATCATAAATAGTTAATGACAAATGTGGCAGTTTAAAATCCCTTTATGCCTAATCTTTCACTTATCGGAAATATACAATTTTAGTCTAGTCGACAAGATACAGAATAAGTGAAACAAGTGAAAACGGTCAGTAGGTAGAAAAAATAATTCGTCCATGTCCCTAAATCATGAAACAAGACTGCAAACCTAATATTTTGCTAAAGAATCGAATTATTGAATTCACCAAGACATGACATCTTTTTTCGGCACAAGTCAATTTTCATAGCTCCCTCAAGACTAAGGCCCGTATCGTCAGTCGTCCCTACAATTGTAGGGTGCGTTTATGGCCTCCTTGATTGTCATATTCCTTTCTCTTCTTCAAAAATTTCTAGATTACACTTGTCCCGTTTCAGTGTCAGCGCTCTCCTATTGTAAAGATACGTTTTCTTTTTAAATTGTAGGAAATTTCAGGCTGATAAAACATGCTATAACTCAAAAGCAAGCGCAATTTGATGCAAATAGATGTTTGTGACATAACCTCAAAATAGAGCGCTGACACGGAGAAGTAGAAAACTATGACAATCAAGGAGGCCATAAAGGCGCCCTACAATTGTAGGGACGACTAACGATACGGGCCTAAGATGTGTCTAAATCGTCACTAAAATGATTCAGTAGCTCTAGAAAAAGATGTAATATGCTTAATAATACGATTTTTTGTAGAATATACCTCTGGTATTCATGAGAAATGCAAGCAACAACAAAAAATAACGTAAAACGTGATAAGTTTGTATGAAAAAATGACCCCGCGCGTATTCGTAATAGCAATACAGACAGTATGATGCTTTCTTCATGAACTTGAGAGAATACCCACATATACTTGGAAAACTAGTTTAGAATCTCAGGCAAATCTGTTATTTGAAGATTTTCATAATTTTTCATGATATTTTTAAAATTCAGATAAAGGATGACCTATTCTTTTATGTTACATATAGAAACGAAAGAGTATCCTCATATTCTGGGGTACCTTGTATCAAATCTCGGTCAGATTTGCTATCCGTGAAATTAAATAATTTACATTATCCAAATTCCTACCAGGTGTCTCCCTTACAGCGATACAGATAGTATGCTTTTTTGTGCATTACAACTATGTTCCTACCTTGGAACCTCAGGCATATTTATTATTTGACAACTCTCATTGTTTTGCCCAATCTCACAAACGTTCTAAGTGTCTTTGTTACAGCAATACCGATCTTATCATATTTTTGTGTTCTGCACATAGATAACAATATCACCGTTGTTTTTTGCATATAGTATGCATGCACTATTTTCTAAATTTCAGCCTGTAAACTTGATCTGTTGAAAAATATATAATGTGAATAATAGTTCGTTTCAAATTCAAATGAAATATCAAACGCTAAGTGCAGCTTGAAAAAGTAGTATGAGAAATTGGAATTGGTGAATGACATATGCGTTTACTTTACAGTGATACAGATAGTATCATATTTTAGCTCTACATTGATCCGAGCAAGTGTCGACAATGTTTACAAAGCTTTACCTCGACACTCCAGTCTAATGGCTTTAAGTACGCATATGTGCCTATCTACACAAACCGAGTCTCGACAACACATCTATTCTTTCCTTGTAGCGTAAACAATATGAGGCGAGCCATTTTGTACCCTGGATGCAATAGTTCATTTCAAATTCAGAAGGGAGATTGTGTGAGTACGTCGGTTGGAAACAGTTTGGATTAACCTAATATTCCAGCTTCGTATCTTTGCGAATAAAATATTGCACGTTGTTTCCAAATAAGAAGTGCAATTTGTACATGGTGAGCAGTTGTATGTTGCGACGCGAAGCGAAATATATCACAGCAAGCCCTGTCTGCAAGAGATAGTATAAGAGCTGAGATATGAGGGGACAGGTCTTGTATTTAAAGACGTTTGAATGTTTATGCCTTTTCTGAGCACTGATAGATGTTATAAGAGAAGTACATTCTTGACTGCATACGAAAAATTCTTTTCATCTGAACATTCAGGAACTTTTATTTGGTAAATTCATTTATTGAGCGTCAATATTGAAAATATCTCTCTTTGAGAGGAGTAGAACAAGATAAAAATACCTATATAACAATAATACAAAAATGTAAATAATTTGCTGTAGTAGTTGATTTATTACTACTAGAGATCGTCGAGTTCCAAATTGATTTTTAACCAAAATTATATAACCGTAAATAATAGAGAATTACTGACGAGATTACATGGTCAGGCACTTTGTACTTTGATACTGCTGACATACGCGCGAGAACTTTTACGGCAGTCACTGAAGAAAATAGTGGTTGCCTCTAATAAGGGATGAATACAAACTGACACAGCCAAATCCTTATTAGACGTTCTTGACCACTTGATATTTCTCACAGATGCGAATACTGTTAACCTTACTTTTTTAAGTAAGTGGTTGTGTTTGTGTTTTGGATGGTTTTGGTTATTTGAGTTTCTCATCTTCCCATGAGATTTTCATTTTCGAACTTCTGGCGGCAAGCTGTGATATTTATGTCAGTTATTATGAATAATGACAAAAAATTTAAGCTTTTAGGGCCGTATTGTCAGTCGTTCCTACTATTGTAGGACGCCTTAATGGACTCCTTGCTTTTCATAGTTTCCTACTGTTTTGTGTCAGCACTCCATTTTGAGGTTATATTACAAATATCTATCTGCATCAAATTGTTAATGTTTTTAATTTATATCATCTGTTACATTAGCCTAAGATTTCCTACAATTCAAAAAGAATAGGAGACCGCTGACGCTGACACGGAACAGTAGAAATCTAGAAATACCCCAGCCTTTATGAAGGAGAGAAAATATTATGAAAATCAAGGAGGTCATAAAGGCGTCCTACAATAATTGTAGGAACGACTGATGACGCGTCACTTAGTGATAACAAAAAAAGATACTTCGCAGTATTTTAAGTATACGCGGACATGTGATTTTCACTTCAATGCTTAATAAAAAAAGTCACCTAATTATTTTTCGTATCTCTGGTATTCTCAATGATCCTCAAGAGTATAATTCTGGATGTAAACTTGGTCTAAATAATTTTTTCTACAAAAACGTCAATTTTTGGCTAGTTAGCCTTAGCTTGGAATATAAGGACATAGTCGTATACTCGGAATTTAGTACTGAGGCATTCGAGAGGAAGAGAAATTCTTATCTGGGCCCAAAGTTGATAGTCATTTCATCTAAACCAGTGATTCAATAACATTCAACTAACAGACGAATCTTTTTATACGAACATGAACACTAACAATAAATAGTACGTTTTCTTGAGGGAGCAGGTTATTATTTCAAATTCAATCCAAACATTAGTTCTCTTAATGTATCCACATTAACTTGAAAGTGAAGTTAAGCTTAAACTAAAGATTTTTTAACAATCGATCAGTCACTATCAACAGACTCTAAACCCTGTTCAATACACAGTAAGGATAACATTGCAGACCCTATAAATCTTTAACCCATTCAACTACTATAGTAATACATAATTTGCTTATACTGTACATCCTTTTTACAATCAGCATCGTTATCAAATGTTTGCAAAACTTATATACAGACTACAAAAAATAAGGAATAAAACGATGACTAGCGATTCAGTACTTGTATAGAGCTGTCGATTTCCCATTTTTACAACGATTTCCAGAAGCAATAGTTCAGTAAAGATAGCCTGACCTCACCATATATAGCACTCTATTTGCTATAGCCCTTAAACATAACATAATACTCTGTGTTGATTTTGAAGAGAGAACGAGGAAACGCTATTTGCACTAATTACTGTGAAGGCCCGGAAACTGAAATTTTGATTGATTGTTATTCCTGATACTGGTAAAACGTGAATACATTTTTGAAAAATGCCCTCTCGACAAGAACCAAATTATTCTGCTGCATTTTTTGCTAACATCTCATATTTTCCACCCTCAACTTTAGCATCTGTTCTGAATTAGTCGAAATGACCTTCATAAAAAGTACCCCGTTAACCTAACGATAAAAAAAACGTGTTAAATGGGGACAGGAGATACTCTGAGAGGTGAAAGCAGAAAAAACTTTTATAATATAACCGTTGCTGCAGTAAAACTCATAACCCTACCTTTTGTTCCGGAAAGGTAATTTACGATGCCCTCCTAAATTGTACACGTACAAAATCACCTCGGGCTGACAAAAGATCAGAAAAAACCGGTGCTCCGTCGAGTTTTTCCAAGAAGCCCATTGTTGAGCTCGAAGCTGCGGAAAATGAATGACTATGTAATAGTATATCACATTATTTTTCATTTGACACGGAGCAAACGCTTTATAACTTGTTGTGAAGTATAGTGAGTTACCTGTGACATAATTTGGCAAACCAATACGATTTCTAAGCAAGCAAAAACTTTTTTATATTTGCTCAGTACTGTATAATCTTTTGAACTATGCTTCTTCATCTTTCCGCCTAATTT